TTCTATAAGTTATTTTTAACATTTATAGATTTATGATATTATCGAATTTTGTGATATGCATTTTTTTGTGATATTAATGTACAAATGATTAGAATTTAAAATATTCTAGTCTATATGTTATATGCTTATTAAAAAGTACATTTCTAAAAAAATTTAAAAACTTTTATATATTAGTAATCAAAGAAAACTTACTTGATGTAAGAGTTTATAAAAAATCTTTTTAAAAAATTACTTCTCAAAAGAAGACTNGTTTGATTTGTAAGAGTTTGCAAAAGATTAACTTGATTTGTAAGAGTTAGGAAAAAAATCATTTAAAGGTTGGTTTTTATATGATTATTGATATTATATAAATATTTAATGTATAATGTTACGTACTCTTAATAAATTTAATAAAATAAAAAACAGAAATATTTTATATCTTATTATTTTTCTGTATAAAAGACATGTGACAAACAACCCAGAAGCATGTGACAATTAACCCTGGATACGGGGCAGATTGACAAATCTGCATGATTGTACTTAATATTAAAATACTTTTTTGTGTAAAGATATATAAGAATAATTTTCGGTTTTTCTTAAAGCTAAAAGATGTGACTATTACATAATGTACCCAATATTAAATAATATTGCGTACATTTTTTTTTTTTTTTACAATCTATTTTGCATGTTACTTTGTGCCCCGGTCTCCCCTACCAAAAGAAATACTTATCATTCATTTTTTATTATTTTCACCAGAAGATAAGAAAGTAATATCAGCAAACAAATTTAATTTACGTGCTGTACCAACGACCAAAAGTATCAGTTGATAAACAGCTGTATAAAATAATGAATGCTATATTTAAGAATGATCTGTATAGTAAAAAGTCATTATACAAGTATGTGTAGCAATGGAAAATCGATCTGGCACAGAATATATGATACGCAAATTAAAAAACACCACTGGCCAAAAGATGCTACAAATGTTTATATTATCCTTTTCTTAGAAAAATAATATTTTATTATTGTTAAAAATTGAGAAAAAAAGAGAAAAGAAAAGAAGATGAATTTTAAGATAAACGTATATTCTACAAAATGTATGATACTCAAAAAACTTACCTTTTTAAAAAAAGGAAAAAAGGCGCCAAGTACACGTCAAACAAACATATCTTTCTCTAAAACCTGTTTTACAAAAGAAGTGATATCAAAAGTAGCACCAAGTACACTTGTGTACATTAAAAACGTTATATAAAATAATGTATATTTAAAACAGTAAAAATATTATATAATATAATGTTTATTTATATATATTAATTAAAAACAGTATATAAAAACTAAAAAGTATAAAATTATTGTATCAAAAGTTAGACCTTGTTTTTTGTAAAAAGTCGAATCATAACAAATAATTAAGGCAAAAAATCTTAGCGTGGCTGCACCGAAAATTACAGCAGACGCGTGTTTGACTTGCGCGGTTTATGTCACATACAAAATCAAACCAGGCAGCATTGCAATAAAAGTGAAATAGTTCTTACACTAGGCAATTCAAACTTTAACATTTTCACTTTACCTCGTCTGGTTTAGACAGAACAATGCTATTTCTCTGAAAATAGTTATATAAAATAACTCTTTCATGTTTACATTGACGATTAAGTTTATGTGTACATAAAAACAAAAAATTTGGTATAATTTTCTTAAAGTATATAATACTTTGAATATGCTAAAGAATGTGAGAATTACAAAATTTATTAATACTCCAACATTAAAACACAAGTACTTATTATGTATATACAGTGGGCAAAATTTGTATAGGGACACTACTATTTTTTAATACAAAAAATTAAGTACTTTGTTAATTAAAATTAAAAGTAGATTAAAAATACTAGGGAATAGTATGAAACAAGAAACCAATGTTACAAACAAAACCAGCCGCTTTTATTTCTTTCTAAATAAAATATAATAATAAAACGTATAAACAAATAACAAAATTTGTATAGGAACAGTCTCCTAAAGTATTATAAAAAACATAAAAATTGTAATGTTAATATTTGGTATTTTCATCATTGCATTTAATTATCTCAAATATCCTATTCTGCATACTACAAACTAACTTTTGCAACGTTTTATCTTAATATCAGTTTTCTTCCATTCTTGCTTTATAACGTTTTCCAGCTTTTTAATGTTGCTGTATTGCTTATTATTTTCATATACCGCTCTTGATAAGATTCCCTGTAAGTGCTCTATGGAATTTAAGTCTGGCGAACGTGCCGTCCACGTCATAAGTGGCAAATTTATTTGTCGGAACCATTCTTTTGTTTCTTTTTGCACTGTGTACAGCAGCATTATCTTGGTGAAAAATTACTTTTTCAATGTAATTTTTCTCAATAAATGGTACTAAGTAGTCTGCTACCAAATCTATATATTTATCTGCGTTTATTCTTGTACACATTTTGCATATCGGTGTTTTTGCAGAATAACTAAACGCAGCCCATATCATCAAACTTCTTCCGCTGAAATTTCTAGTCATTGCTATTGCTTTATCAGTGTGTAAATCGCGCCAATAATATTTAAAACCGTCAGGCCCGTCTAAATTAAATTTCTTCTTGTCGGAAAAGATAACATTTCTCCACTCTTTATTCCAAGTCATTGGTGATTTCGAGCGAAATCTAATCTTGTGATTTTGTGATGTTTTGTAAGAGGTGGTTTTACTGCTTTTTTTGTTTCAATCGATCTTTTTGCAATATTTGCTGCACACGTTGTACAGTCACTGTAGTTCTAAAGCTCGTTATTTTGCTAGCAGTCTTATTTCCAGTTTTTATTTCTCTAAATATTCGTGAATGATCACGCTATGTGAGTTTATTATTACCGCCTGCGTAGTTTTTATAATAGTTTTCATCTAATTTAAAAAAATTATAGATAACAGTAGATCTATTGGTTTTTTTAGTGATCTGTCAAAGAGGGAGTCATGCATCATGATATGTTTTTATCTTTAGTTGTTCTTCCAAACCTAGAACTGTTCTTCGTGGCATTCTAATAGAAGAGAAATTATTTTAAATTATTTCTAAAATAGAATATTACATACTTCTAATACTTACTTTCTTTGAGCTTCGGACAATGTTTTTAGTCTAGAATAATGCAAGAATACTACATAAATGTTACTGTTCATATGCAAATTTCGTACTTATTTTGGCAGGTATTTTTATGCCGGTGGTTAGTTTATTAGAACTAGCGGCTATGTTCACATCATTGTTTTCTAGTAAAAGCACTGTGGGGCTAATGAGGTTTCTGACTTATAACTAGTACACATTTATAGAATAAATCAATCTATATCAGTAAATCATGATGTTCTTATGCAAATTTCGTTAACGGTATGTATACCAGTAATGTTTCACAACAGAAATTGTTTATATAACAATTATATATAAACAATTTCTGTTGGCGCGATGCGCGATAAAAGACGCGGCAATCTTTGTTTGTGTCTTTGATCTCGCGCGGCAATTGCCGCAAAAGAAAATGTGAAGTAAGATGACGTGAAGCAGATACGAAATATGGTAATGATATCTTTTTGCAGATTGTGCAAAAAAAGCTTGACAATTATACAAGACACAGCCTTAGTATCGCAAGTAGATAGAAATCTTCTTATATATTGCGAGACAAACTCCAAGTGCCTCGGTGGCCTAACAGGGAAGGCGATGGCACGGAAAGCCGGAGATTCCAGGTTCGACTCCTGGCCGAGGAG